AGTTTTTATAATGTGTTTTGTGATTGTTTAAGTTATTGAGAACTTTTATATTTTTAGATGGTGTCTGTGAAATTATAAAGGATGGCAAAGTTCTTGGAGAATTAGGACCAGCAAAAGCAATGGGAGAGTTGGCAATCTTATATAACTGTGTTCGGACTGCTACTGTTAGAGGTTTTTACGATATTTAAAATTTTAAGAATTCGTGCTTGTTATCAGAGTTTTTGTCAATTTGTGTTAATGAAAACTTTAGCAACAACAAGTGGGAAGTTATGGACAATTGACAGGCAAGGTTTCCAAACTATCATGATGAAGACTGGTATGCAAAGACAGCAAGAGCATATGGACTTTTTAAAAAGGTATTTATCTTACAGTTCAAATGAAATTTTTTTTTTTGATATTTTATAATTTGCATGATTGCCTGATTTGCATAATTTAGTGTACCCGTTTTAAAGGAAGTTGCAGATGATGCTCTAGCAAAAATTGCTGATGTGTTAGAAGAAGTCAGTTATATATATTTACTATTTGTATATTAAAAAAAAAATTATAAAATCCTGTATTAAATATTTAATAATAAAATTTTTAGGCATTCTATGAAGAAGGTGAATATATTATTCGACAAGGTGCCCGTGGTGACACATTTTTTATTCTCAAAAAAGGCACAGTATGTTAATAAATATTAATTTTTATAAATAATATAAATTCTAGTTATTTTATTCTAATTAGTTGTGCTCAAAAACTTGAGTTTTTAATTTTTGTAATTCAGGTTGACATAACTCAGCGAGCATCTGTCCATAGTGAACCACAGTTTGTACGGTCACTGAGTAAAGGAGCATATTTTGGCGAGAAAGCTCTTTTAGGGTGAGTTTTTTTTTTTTAATTTTATTTGGTAATTGTGTTTAATGGAAATGTGTTTGTTACAGTTGACCAGTGTTTTTTCAGAAAAACCAAGAAATTTTTTTTTGTTTTTTTATTTTTAACACTAAAATAAATATTTTATTTTTAACACTAAAATAAATTTGTTTTTAAAGGAAATTTGATAAAAGACTCGTTTTCATTCTTCTATTTAGTATACCATTTTATCAATATTGTATTAAAAACATAATTGTATTTTTTAATCCTAAAATACAAATATATTTTTATTTAGAAAATGCCAATTACATATATTTGTATATGAATTTGTATTTAGAAATATGAAATTAAAGTATTTATTATCATAAACATTTTCTGTTGCTTTATCCAGTAACTTATTATTTTCACTACTTTAAAGCCATTTATTTTGTATACAAATGTTAGTTAAATATCCTGAAATCTTTAAATGAACATATTTTCATAAAAAGTCTTTTAACAAATTTTTGTTTTTAGAGAAGATCTTCGAACTGCTAATGTTATTGCTGGAAAAGGTGGTTGCGGGTGTTTAGTAGTTGATAGAGAATCGTTTTCAATGTTTATTGAAACTCTCAGTGATATCAAGAAAGATAGTTATGAAAGTGATGATAAAAAGCGAGGAGTTGATCTTAAGTCACCAACGTAAGCTTTTTATTTGTGTTTTAATTATGCATTTGTTGTTTGTAGATATTACTTTTAATTGGTTTATTTAGGCTGGCAAAAGAACAAGATGAGTTTTCATTTGTAACTTTAGATCAACTTAAAATAGCAGCAACTTTAGGTGTTGGTGGTTTTGGCAGAGTAGAATTGGTAAAAAATTTTTTAGTTATATTAATAGAAATTACTATTCATTTTATCAAACCTTTTTGGTTAAATTACTATTTTTATTGGTTATTGCATTGAAGATATGTGATATAATTATTACAATCATCAATGTTGAAATTCATAAAATCTGTTTTGATGTTTACAATATTTAATCTGTTTAAGGTAAATTCACTTTTTATATCTTTTAATTGTCTTGCAAATTATTATTTTTTTACCATTCACAATTTCTAGGATTTATTAAGAATGTTAAAAAATGCATTGTAAATGTAGTTAGACCTGCTTTACATCATCATTACATCTAGAGTTGCATCTCTTTCTAAAAATGCTATCATGTTTGCTGCTCAAAAAAGCTATCATCTATAGTTTCATCTTCTAAAATTCATTCTTGCTTGACTTGATATTCAGTAAAGTCACATTCTTTTATTGTATTTGTCTCTTCATGCTATAAAAACTTTTATTTGTTAAATTTTTTTTTTCGCATTTAACTGCTTGAAATCTCCTTCTCCGATCTTCATGTTTTCCTGACTCATAAAAGCTCTCAAGTCTTTTGTCAACAATTCCTTGCTCTTTAAATCCCAATTTAATAGCGGTTGCTTGCAGTCTTGTTGTGAGTGAATCAGAATAAAAAATAAAAAAATACCAGTTAACATAATTATTTTTACCTTTGTATTATTACCTTTGTATTATGTTAAGTTCCAGCTTCTCCCTTACTGTTGACTAATGATTAGTAGAGTAAATTTTACATCATATAAGTTAAAACCATGTTTCAGTAAGCAAAATAATCAAGTGA